GAAAAAAAAATCTCTTAAATATAATAAAATCAGCTCTGTCACGATAATAAACGCGTTCCTCCCGCTCCTGGGTTCAGGTCCCAACCTCCAGCCCATGGTGGGGAACACAAGCGCATCCCGACGGGATGGAACGTGCGGGGTTGGAGCGGGGACAGCCAGCCCTGCCCCACGCGTGGGTGACACCGCCGGTGCCACCGAGGGGACAGCCACGGCTGAGCCACGCACCCGGGTGACCCCAGAAAGCCCCGGTCCCGCCTGTGCCAGGGGGACTGCACACAATTCCAGCTCCCGCACTTCAAAGCGGGGGGTTCTCTATAGCGACTTCTCGCTGCCCCAGGACGGTGGCTGCCTCCAGCTATTGTGAGAGCTTTTTCACGCCAAAGATTTAGCAGAAAAAATAGATATTAAAGCGAGTTATTTGCTGAGGAAACGCGGGTCCCTCCGGGGCGGGGGCASCCGGAGCCAAAGGGTTGGAGCGCACGGTCTGAACCCAAAAACTTTTTTWAAAATTKTTTTTAATAAAAAAAAACTTTAATGGGTTTCGGTCTATGAAAAATAAGTTACAAATTCTTGCAACAGTAGCTTTGCATGTACTTATTTTTCTCCCATGTCCAGACGGGGTCGGCTATTGAATAAGGCTCTTTTATTCTGCATGGGGCAGGGGATTTGTGGCCATGGTCCCCCTTTTATTCCTCTCTCTATGGAAACCCAGATCATGGGGAGAAATATGCGAGGCTGAATAAAGAAAAGCAGCAGAAAGGACCGCTTGAGAGCGGCATCTGTTACACTTGGGAAGTTAGACTGACAGGAAAGAGCTAAAGAAACCCTCTCCAGCAGATTAGTTAGAACAGCAAGAAGATTTAACTATATGCAGATAAAAACACTATAAAATCCACCATACTCTGCTATAGGCGAGGTGAGAGCCGCCTCGGCAGGAGCAGAGCCGGGCTCTGCCTTAGCTACATTTGCAGCAAAGATTAAAATGGGACGTTCRGGGTTTTATTTCCCTGCCAGAGACTCTGCCTTAATTAAACGGCGGATCTGAACATCTATTTTCACGGGCAATGGGATTTGAAAAATTGTTTCGGAAGTTAAAGTGCAAATTAATTTTAAATAATTTAGTTACGTTTTTATACAGTGCGGATTTGATGTTGTTGGGGGGGCTTTTTTGGTGGCTTTTTTTTTTCCTTTTTTTTTTC